TTTATTTTTAGTAATAAACCTCTCTTGACAATTCTGCTTATTTTCATCTTGTTTTAATCAGGATATAATCTTTTTTGTTTAGCTCTGCCTGAGATAGAGTAAACTTCAGTCCTTTGTAAACCAGAGTAAGATAGTCCTGCTATCTTATTCCCATTTGGACTGGGTAGCTTATAAACAGGAACTTATTTCTCTTATCTCTGGAGGCTGGAAAGTTCAAGTTTAAGGTGCCGGCAGGTGCAGTGTCTGGTCACAGCCCACTTCTAGTTTATAGACCTCTGTCTTCACATTGAGTCCTCATGTGCTAGAAGAGGCATAGGAGGTCTCTGGGGTCTTTTTTTTTTTTTTTATAAGAGACAGAGTCTCACTTTATCACTCTCGGTAGGGCATGGCGTCACAGCTCACAGCAACCTCCGCCTCTTGGGCTTAGGCAATTCTCTTGCCTCAGCCTCCCGAGTAGCTGGGACTACAGGTGCCCACCACAACGCCCAGCTATTTTTTGTTGTAGTTTGGCCAGAGCTGGGTTTCAACCCGCCACCCTCAGTATGTGGGGCTGGCGCCCTACTCATTGAGCCACAGGTACCACCGCTGGGGTCCTTTTATAAGAGCACTGATACCATCTATGAGAGCTCTGCCCTCATAACCTAATCACCTCCCAAAAGTCCCACCTCCCAATACCATTATATTGGGGGTTAAGATTTAATGTAACAGATCTTGTAGGGACACAAATATTAAGTCTGTAGCAGCTGCTGACCCATAGGTAGACAGCAAAATTATGACAAACTTCTACTCTTGATATTTTTTTTGGAAACAGACTCTTACTGTTTCCCAGACTAGAGTGCCATGGCCTCAGCCTAGCCCATAGCAACCTCAATTCCTGGACTCAAGCGATCCTCCTGTCTCAGCCTCCTGAGTATCTGAGACTATAGGTGCCCACTACAACATCCAACTAATTTTTCTATTTTTAATAGAGAAAGGGTCTCGTTCTTGCTCAGGTGATCCTCCTGCCTCAACCTCCTGGAGTGTTAGGATTACAGGCGTGAGCCACGGTGCCCAGCCCAACTTTTGAGTCTGATCCTAGTTCAAATGTCCAGTCCCAGCCCCTGGAATCCAGGCTGCTGCTTTTTTTTCATGTCAGTATCATCAAATCAAATCTGCTTATGATCAACCCAGAAAGTCCAGGCCCTGGTACACTGTTTGACTTTCCTTCAAAGAATCAGAAAATCGTCTTTATCATCTTTTGGTTACTTCCTGGAGAATGTGCTTTTAGCTTATTACACTGAAACCATATAACACAAATTCAGATACAACGTAACTGGGGATTAGTTCCCATCCTCCATAACAGACTCATTCCTGTTTTTTCATTAACCATGTGGCAATATAACTCCATCATCTATACAACTGTATGTTTTGGACTCTGGTTATCGCATTAAGGGGGAGATTTACTGTGTCACCTAATCGCAGTCCATACATTTCCATTCTCTCTGTGGGATGCCTTAGCTACCCATGCAGCAGGGACCCAGGGTGGCTGGAATGGGAAGGATGAAAAACCAGAAGTAGGAGAACAGGGGAGGGCTGGTGAGAACTGAATTGTTAATGTGCTGCCACTCACAACTGCCAACTGAGGACGGCACAAATGGGGCCAGCATTTTATAGTAATAACTGAGCATCAGAGGGAGGGGATCAGATGGAGCAGCATTTAGAGCACCCACACTGTCCATCATAAACTCGGAAACTAACTTAACCAGTACTCATGATTCTTAGTATTGTTTTTTTATAAGTTTGGATACCTTTTACAGTGTAAAAGAAACAATCTAATAAAATTTGGACAAAGCAAAGCAGGCGTGGGAGAGGGATTACTCAAACTGTTAACATTTTAATGTTTTTCTTTTCTCTGCATAAATTGCTTGAGCATATTTGCACTTACAAGGAAATGATGTATGCTGCTTTTATCATACAACAGATGTTTTTCTGTTCTGGTATAGCCTCAGTGTAATACATATTAAAAGACATTTAAATGTTTTTAATAGATTAGTGTAAGTTTCCTAGAACTATTTTTCAAACTAAAATCTTATTTAATTACTTGTTCATAAATTCACAGAGTCAAAACCTACATAATTTAAAATTAAAGCATGTTGGAATGTATCACATGGAAAAAGGTTGAAGCCAGTTTCAAGTATCATGAGTGTACAGTAGTTGTAGAAAGACAAACACACATATGGGATACAGAGATAATGTAAAATGCTTCTACTTTGGTTCATGGTTTGAAACTTGAAAAGTACTGCCCAAATATACTTAAAATGTCCTTTCATCTTCTCGATCAGCGGTTCTCAACCTGTGGGTCACGACCCCTTTGGGGGTCAAATGACCCTTTCACAAGGGTTGCCTAAATATATCCTGCATGTCAGATATTTACATTACGATTCATAACAGTAGCAAAATTACAATTATGAAGTAGCAATGAAAATAATTTTATGGTTGGGGGTCACCACTATTGAGGCACTGTATTAAAGGGTCGCAGCATTAGGAAGGTTGAGAACCACTGTTCTAGATTGTTAAAGATTTTCTAAATTTGACAATATCCATTGTCAATGGAAAAAATGGGATTACACCATGATGACAATGTAATTTGTTTAATCCTTTGGGAGGATTAAGCTGTAGGTATCAAAATTTTAAATATATATTAATCCTTTAACCTGTTCATGTTAAGAACGCTAAGAGATAAGTGGACAAGTGTGGTGTGATATTTGTGTGTAATATTCACAGTATTAGCTTAATAGTGGAAGTCTGTTAATTTATATGTCCATTAACAAGAAATTCATTAAAGTATGAGGCTTATACAAACTGAAGAACTCTATATTTTATTTACATATAAAAGTTATTTTAGTAAAATAAGTCAAAAACAGATTATATACTACTCTACAAAGGTGTCCAAAAAAATGGACACATTTTAAGAAAGGAAAAAACTATTAAATAATTCATAATACTGTCTGCAATTACAAGAGGTGCTCAGTGTGACTCGTGTTCATCTTTTGTTATCAGTATTATTACAATTTTAATATAATTTTTTCCTTTCTTAAATGTGTATACATTTTTTTTTAAGCACTCTGTTACAGTGTTAAAATTATATAACCCAAACAAACTAAGTGAATGTTCCCCCAGAATAGTGTCTCTTTCTGACTGTTGAGTTTGGGGATGATTACCACTTGCTTAGACTTTTCTTTAGTGTCCAAATTTTCTATAGTGATAATAAATTTCATTTTTAAAGAATAAAAAGTTCTGTTCATTTTGGGAAATACAGTGAATTCCCACAGAATGTTTTATTCCGCTACTAAAAAAAAAAAAAAAAAATTTACACAAGACTTCTTGGATGTATCCACTCCTTAAATGAAAATTTTTAATACTATGTAACTAAGTTACTGGTGGTGAAAGGAACCTGGTGTTGGGGTTCTTGGCTCCAAATTAGAACTGCCCAGGGGTATATGTATCTTCCGGGTGGAGGAGTGGACAGATGTACTTCCCTCAGAAGTTACTAGATTCATGATTCCCCTAGAGCCAGGTACATGAGTGGTCAAAGTATGAAAGTTAGGAGTTAAATGTGTGCTTAGGAAGTCTGCCGAGGCGTCAACGTCCCTTGCAGAGTGCGTAGTTTTTTTGTTTTTAACTAAATAAAATCTTAGCACTGACCAAGCTATTCCTACCATTTGGAGCTACACCAGAACCCCTTAGAAGACAGATGTGGATTGAGTGACACTCAATGCTCTAATTCTCATGCTTCACATCAGGGGTCCTCAAAATTTTTAAACAGGGGGCCAGTTCACTGTCCCTCAGACCGTTGGAGGGCTGGACTGCGGGCCCCTGGGATGAGTCGACTGCTAAGCGGGACAGGCAGCGGCGGCAAAAACACCAGACAGGCTGGATAAATGTCCTAGGCAGGCCGCATGTGGCCCACGGGCCATAGTCTGAGGACGCCTGCTTCACATAAAGGAAAAAGAGCTACCCACAGGCAACATTCTTACTCCTTTCCCATGCTTTAAGGAAAATTATAGCTTTGTTCCTACCCAAATTCTGCCTGCAAATAAATATATACACATCACTAATGATTCTATTTTATTTCCAACTTCTGATAGATAATACGTTTTTTTCCAATGCCATCACAGTAAGCGTCCCAATAGCACACTCGAGAGGCCACTTTCCCATTTGTCTCCTCTGCCTCACTTCACTATGTGCTTACCTCGTAGCTCCACTATCAGCCTCAGTTTTTCCTTCCTTCTGGAATATCCTTAATTAAACCTTTAAGAGATTTGTACTTCACTTGAATGATCCACTTGCCTCTGTTGCCTCCACTTTCAAGTTTTCCTCAGCCCTGTTCTCCCCAGCCCCACTGTGTCTGGCAACCTCAGTGCCCCCCTGCGCTCCTACCACACGGCCCTTTCTTTTCATCCCTTAACGCAGTCCCGTAGCACATTAAGTCCCCGCACATGGGTCTAGTTTATTTGTTTTAAACATTCACGTTATTATTTAGACTGCAGGAACCATTATTTTTGGCTTAAAGAGAATGCAAATAGGTCTATCTCCAATTATCTGATAGACTGTCATGCAGTAGTAAAGTTACATGAGAGAAAGATTTTAGTTCCACATAAGAGAAAACTGTTAGGAAGTCTGGAATGGAAACTTCAGAGATTCAATAACCACGTGTCAGATTCTGTAAAGAATATGTAAGCACTACCTAGCCCATATGGCCTTTTAAATCTTCCAACCCTGAGACCCCATAGTTCTTTATAAAAAGGGGTAAAAGTGTTAAACTCCCAATGATGTAAGTGAAGTGAATGACACGCTGAGGTCCAGTTTGTTTGTCGTTCAGAATTAGTCCAACACAGACTTTTAGACTCGGGGACAAAAGACAAGCATTTCAAGTTACCTGCCAGCCCCAGTTCCTCTCAGGATATACAAACAGCTAGCTATGTTCTAGCTAGAAACTATTCAATAAGGCCTTCCATTAATTTCCTTTAAAAACAATAGTTGTTTTTATTTAAACTCCTAAATGCCAAAATCAAAAGGGCTCACCCTTGTATCTAAATTCTGATGGTGCTGCAGCTGTCAATTGGCACCCACGTGCTACCGTCCAGAAATCTGGTCTGCGATATAAGCAACGAAGGGAGGACCTGGCAGGAAACTGCTGGGGTGGTATACGGGACACTGCTTATAGTCACAAGGCCATGGGGTCCAGGCGTAGCGGACAGCAACCACAGTGCCGTAACAAGACTTGAGTGACAGGGTTAGACTCTGGGTGGAGAACGTATTCATATCAGCTGGAAGCCACTTGCACTGCTGGTCACTGCAGCACGAGATCTAACAAGAGAGTCACAAAACGGGACGGTCAGGCCGGGTAGAAGGGCATCCGAGGACACTGAAAACTGCTTTTTCAGACAAGCTAGATGGGAAGGAAGGAGCCACTCTTAGCCACTGACTTACTTTCTCCAACAGCTGCAACAAACATGGTCTAGTTTGGGTCTGGCCCTGAGAGGCTGATAGTGCATGTTCACGTGAGTCAATGCACAATTTAAATCAAGAAATGAAACATTAACTCACTGCAGGAGACAAGGAAGCATAATCCCATAAAGGAGCATCTGGGGGAATCTCCCCCTGAGCATCCTCCCTCTACCGGTCCTGCCACACACAGGGCCGGCAGGATTCTGAGGGAACAGAGCAGCTCAGCTTTTCTCCCTCTATTCTCTGGGCTCCTGAAGGACCTACGGCATGAAGGAAGGTTACAAAGGAACTTCAGATATGATGCCTTTCTCGAGTCAGAAGGCAATCCAGAAAGGGGAACGTAAATTACCCAGAAACCAAAGAGCAAATTCTGTCCTGTCCCTCTCTGTGGCCCCGGGCCAGATGGTGAGTAGACTAGAGAGGAAATGACTAGAGAAGAGAACTCCGAACGCAGAGACTTCTCGGGAGTCTTAAACACGCCCGAAACCCAATGAGGCAAGAAGCTAAGTGGGATAAAGCGCTGACCAAACATCCGAGGCAGGTGGATATCACAGTTAGGGTTCTAAAAGCCACACCCCTAGACAAACTCTTCTGTAATTAAAGTCTGTCTTTAATACTCTTTCACCTTCAAGTCCTCTTTTCTCATGCACCCTCCCAGGCTAAGGCCTCAGGATTTAAAGGTTCCATTTAGGAACACCTCCGCCCTCAATTAAGGAAGACTCCTGAATAACTCCCTTAACTTACAGTCTCAATTCCACAGCAGAATGACCCTTGCTGGGTATTAAAAGAAAGTCTCATTACATCGATTCACACTGAGTTACAAGGATCACTCAAATCCCAGGAGATGTGAAACTCAAAGAATGTCAGAACTTAGGACAGAATAACAAAAAGACACCTGAGGATGAAGTAAATATTCAGGAGGAAGGATCTTCAAGAGGTAACCTACAAATAAAGCTGCAGGCCCTTCCCTGAGCAAAGATGGTTGCTCTGGAGACAAAATTAAAAATAAGTATCACTTTAACATAGACTTATTTGCCCTTCCTTAACTGTCTTTCAAAATTGCCTCTAAGCTAATGACTTAATAGCTGCTTATTTGCTCCTCTGAGATAAATTCAGCCACCCACCAACCACCACTGCTCCTTAATTATGTTATGATGAATGAGATGGGCCTCGATGTAGAGAAGTTCTAGCTCCCAGCATGAGATGAATGGCTGATTTTCTGTTATTCTCACCTCAAATATCTTGTTGTCCTTCTTCTGCACCTTGATTTCCTGGGAATATGTGAGGTTGAGCAGCCCCATGAGCGAGAATTCTACCTTCTCAGGCAGTGGTCCTTGAAAGATCAAATCCTTCTCACCGTAAGCCACAGCACGGGCCCCCAAGTGCAGCCTATAGGCCACCGTATCTTTATCTCGAGGGTGGATGCTACAGGATGAACAACAAGCAGAGAACTTTGTGTTTGAGATCAGCAAGAACAATAATTTTTTTAAACAGAGTATACAAAGCAGTCTTTAAGAAGAAAGCGGCCTGAAGTCAACAATGGGTGCTAAGTCAGCCTCAGAAAAATGGCAAATAATAACCAAAGAGGCTCTGGGCCTTCTATGGGCTGGTGACCATGAAGTAATAGATGGCTTGGAAGGAAAGAAGAAAGGGAGAGACAGAAAGGGGGAGGAGAATAGAAGGGGGAAAGTTACTGAAACTTAGGAGAGTTACCACATCAGACTATTCCCAGCCCCTAAAAGTCACATTGCATCTCAATCAGCTGTTCATTATTTGCTCCCCTCCAGCTCTCACTTGTTCATTCAATAAATATCTCCAAGTCCCTGATGTAATCCAGACATTGTGTGTTGGGCCTATTTCGATCCCACAGTTAATGTGGGGTACTCACTGAGCCTATTCCCAAACATTCCAATACCCTCTCTCTGAGTCCATGCTAGAATCCCATTTCCTGCTTTCACTCAAGCTAATGATGGCCATATGACTTGGTCTGGCCAGGGCTATGTGAACAAAAATGACTTGTGTTCCTTCCAGACAGAAGCATCCAATTGCGAGTATGAACCTCTACGGTCACTGTGGAAATGCGGGTCATCTTGGAGGCTCTGTGGCTCTGGGTCTGTGAATGACTTTAATGAGTACAGTCTGTGCCGATTTTCTTTGGACATGGACTGTGAGCTAGGAATAAAGATGTGTAGCATCAAGGAACAAAAGATGTTGAGGGGTTTCCCGCAGCACCTCCCAGCATAAACGATGGATACCTAGTGCTTCTAGGCTCTGATCCTTAGTTCAGGCACAGGACAAAGCCCAGATGGCATCGCGTAGAGCAGAGGTGAACCACGCACAGCCCAAGAAGCTACCATACCTTCCAAAAGGCGAGTCCTTATCGCCAAGATCCATAGCGACAGCCATGAACGTATTAGGCATCTTTACGTTGGGGACATAGCCCAAGTCTGCTGTTTGGTGCCAACGGATCTGGGGAAATCCACCATCTGGGTTGTCCTCAAACAAAACTGAAGATAACTAGAAAGCAGAGACGTTGTTGCTTTTATGGCATCAGAATCACACCCTGGGATTTTTTCACAGGCAGATTCTGCTTCAGCTTCTCTTACTGGCTCAAATGCTTGTTCGGCAAGTTTTACCGAGCTTCTTAGTATTGTGGCTGCATCTCTCCAAAGATGGACGTGACAATCCCTCTCATCCCATGTTCCCTGTTACAATGCAACTTTGCCACACCTCCCACCAAGTGCTGACGGCTATTTCTCCTCCCATTGAATCTGGGCCAGCTCTGGGTGTTCTCTGCTCAAGGGAATACAGCAAAAGTGACCTACAGCTTCTGAGTCTTTGCCATAGGGCCCTTGCCTTCGGATTTCATTCTCTTGGGATGCTGAGCTAATCATGTAAAAACAGCCCTTTTTCCTGCTGGAGAGATTATACAGAGGAAGGGGTCTTGGAGACTGAAAAACTACACAGAAAGAGAGGCACCAGCATTCCAGCAATCCCAGGTAGGGTCCAGTCACGTGAATTCTAGAGCCTCCAGCTCAAACTGCAGCCACCTGAGCAAGCCCAGCTGCTGTCACAGAGAGCAGAGAGGAGCCATCCCCACTGAACCTTGCCTGGCCACCCCAGGAATCAAGAACAGTGTTTTAAACCACTAAATTTGAGCAGCTTGTTACAAAGTAATAAGTAACCAACACTCCCGAATATGGCACAGGCTTAGGCACTGCAGGGAAGAGAGAAGAACCTGCCCTTGAGCATGTGGTTAATTGCATCAAAGACCCCAATTCTTCACTCCTTCCCATATCCACATGGCTTTGCAATTCCTGCCATTAGGAAAAATGTATTTCCACATCCCCTAATTCTGAGTTCAGCCATGTGGTTTGCATTGGCCAATAGATGGAAGCAGAAATTAGGGTGTGTCAATTCCACATGGGTCCACTTGCTCATTTGCACATCTGCTATCCCCACGAGAAGGTGAGCCAACCACTCTCTGGAGATGGACGAGAGCCATGGAACTGAGCTGCCCTTTTTAATCCTCTCCAGCCAAGCAAAGCAACTGTCTGGCTCAGTGTGGAGCTTATCATCCAACTCCCCCTGCTCCCCAGACTCACGAACTCTATAATAAAGTTTTTTAACCCATGAAGTTTTGAGGTGGCCTGCTACATAGCCATAGCGAACTAGGGCAAGCACTTTACAGCTTTGTTGGGGGACGAACTTGCACATAATAAAGAAGAAATGTTCAGAAATAACAGTATGAAATAAGATGGAGTAAATACCACGCTGGGAGCACAGACAGCAAGTGCTATGCTTTTAAAACAGGCAAAATTACCATAAAGAAACATGGCCTCAGAATACTTTAAAAAAATCAGCTAGGCACAGAAAACATGAGAAGTCGCGACAAACGGTACTGCTCATGCTTCACATGTTAGAACCTTCCGAGATGCAAAGGTGGGGAGATTGAGAATGGCTAGTGTGAGGCAGAGTACAATCCAGGTGGGCTGGAGGATTTGTACAGGAAAGACAAGCTGGGAAAGCCAGCGAGCCAAGTGCTCGGACAGGGGTTGTATTTTATTCTGTAAGCAATAAAGAACCGCTGTAGAGGTGATGCCTATATGACATTCTGAATGTACCAAAATGTCCCTGAACTGAACGCTTTAAAATTGCTAATTTTATGTTTTACAAATCTCATCGCAATTAAATAATTACAGAGCCAGGGAGACTATTGAAAGGATAAGTGGACCATTTCAAAAGATTAATCTAGTGATCATACAAATGGCTTTGGAAAGAAGAAAGAACTTACAGCAGAGGGACTGACGAGTGAAGCAGCTATATTGTCACATTCTAGACCCAGGTGTCTGGTCTAGAGGGAGAGGAACAGGAAAGGGATCACCAGAAATAAGACAAACTGACAGAACCAGACAGCCAACCCGGATACAGGCACAAGACGGAAGGATAAATTCCATCACCCGGAATTCACAACATCTGAATTCTCTTCCTGGAATCTGGGGCAGCCAAGTAGTGCCAGAGTATTTGGGAAATGACATTGCTCTTGAAAAAGCCAGTGCAGAACAATAGCTCATGTCATATCAGTCTGCTCACTCATTCATTCATTCATTCATTCTTAACAAACATTTACTGAGTATCTACTCTGTCCGGGCACTAATATTGGCCTGGTGGATAGAGCAGTGAACAAAACACAAGCATCCCTTCCCATGCTTACATTCCAGTGGGAAGAAATAACCAATAAAACTACATATCCTGTGAGAAAGTGAGAAGTGCACTGGAGAACAAGGTAGCAGGGAAGAGAGTGTCAGCCTTGAACGAAACTTCACTAGGAGGAGAGGTGAAAAAGGATCTATCAGGAGGATACAGGGTGCGGGGGCAGAATTCTAAGATGACCGGCAGTAACCCAAGCCTTTATATAACACTCTCTTTGGCTGGAGGGGTAGGGAGGAACCTGTAACTTGCTTCTAACCAAAAGGCTGTGGCAAAAGTACTGGGCTATCAGTCCCATGATTGTGTTCTGTCTCATGGCAAAGGGGGAGGGATTTTGCAGATGTAAGGTCCCTATAGTTAAGTGACTTCAAGATCTGCAAAAAGGTCCCTAGCCAAGTGACTTCAAGATCAGAGTACCATGGCGAGGCTGACCTAGTCAGATGAAGACTGTCAAAGAGGGCCATAGACTCTCCTACAGGCCTCCAAGAATTAAGCTGCCATGAGTTCTATAGCTTCAAGGAAGTGAATTCTGCCAACAACGAGATGGGTTTGGAAGAAAAGAACCCCAAGCCTCAGGTGAAACCCCAGCTCTAACACCTCCGCTGCCGTCCTGAGCAGAGGACCCAGCTAAGCTGTGTATGCCCAGACTCCTCACCCATAGAAACTGGGAGATAATAAACGTGTGTTCTGTTGTTTTAAGTTGCTGAATACATAGTAATTCCAGGCAGAATGGAAAAGAAAATGGCGGGCCCTAAGGCGGCAATGTGCTTTATGCTTAAAGAAAAGTAAGGCAGCCCATGTGGTTGAAGCGGAATAGTCAAGGCTGAGAGAATTAAGACAGGAAGGTATGGGGGAAGTGGGAGCAGGGGATAGATTATTTGCGGCCTTGTGGGAGCCTTCTGCTAAGACTTACACTTCAAAGGATCACTTTGATGTGCTGGAAATATCCTAAGAAGGAAAAAAGGTAGGAGCAGGAAAGAAGACCAAGTTAGGGAGCAATAATTCCAGGGAGAGACCAGGGTGGTGGCTTAGACTAGTACAGAAGCAGTAACAGGAGGGAGAAATGGTCAGGTTCTGAATGCGGAGCTAACAGGATTTGTTTTCATCTCAACTGACAGCTGATGTACTCCTACTCTGGAAAGGACAGAGGCTCCCAGAAAAACCCTTCACTATTACTATGATGCCTGCCTTCCCACTATTTCCTCCCTCCTTTTCTGATGTTTACATTTAGATAGCATATTATTCTTAGCCCTCGTTCCAGCCAGGGAGAGGCATCAACCTATTATCTCTCTTTCACAAACCATGATGTAACTGTGAGTAAACCACGAACTGGGAACAGTCTGGGCCAGAAACGACATTGTCTTTTGACTGAATTTCAGAGGCTGCATTAATATAAACAGGCTTCCCTCCCTCCCCCCCAGGATCACTACTCACACAGCCCAGAAAACACTGGACATCATCCCTGCAAATGTGGCCAAAGGAAGCTAAGAAAGGAAGATGTTTTCTGCTTCCTGGGTTGCTCCAGAAAGACTAGAAAACCATTAGCAAAACATGGAAAGGGTGCAACAGAGACAGAAAGGGGCCTTAGATGTGATGTGAAACTAAGAGAACATTTCCAACTTTCTTAGTAAAATTCTATTGTGCAGGCCAGGCGCAGTGGCTCATGCCTGTAATAACAGAACTCTGAGAGGCCACGCTGGGTAGATCACCTGAGCTCAGGAGTTTGAGACCAGCGTAAGCAAGAGTGAAATCTCATCCCCATATCTACTAAAAAAATAGAAAAACTAGCTGGGTGTGGTGGCAGATACCTATAGTCCCAGCTACCTGGGAGGCTGAGGCAGGAAGATTGTTCAAGTCTAAGAGTTTGAGGTTGCTGTGACACCACAGCACTCAACCCCAGGGTGAATGAGTGAGACTCTGTTTCAAAAAAATAAAAATCTTACACAAAACAGCTATAACACAGGAAATGACAAAAGCTTCACAGTGGAATCCCCTGAAAACTAGAAAATGGGAATAAAAATTCCCATGAGTCACTCTACTTCTTCTAGACAACACCCCAAAGACTGAAGGCAGAACCACGCACGGCCAGTGTCACACTGCAGGCCACAGCAACAAAGCCACTGTAAAGAGTCTACGGTAAGTACTAACCTGCAGCTCAACAAGGAGAAATGCTCATTAGCTAATAACAGCCCCTGAAGCCAAAACGGCAGTTTGCTGAGAGAGAAGAACCACGGCAATCTGCTGCTGTTTCACTGACTGCACTGGCATGCACTGGCCACATGGGGGCACCAGCATACCCAAATGAAATCTCTGTTTTTTCCCCCAATCTGAGCTATAGCAGGGCACTATTCAGTCTCCCACAGTGACTGGTAGAAATACTGAGGCTAATTCACTTCTAGAACAGTTGAAGGATATAAAACTGGCCACAGGGAGAGAATTTTACAAATTGCGTACTGCAATTTATGGTCTGTTCCATTGTTCCTCCAAACCAAACTACTTTCTTACAAAGCGCACTCCCAGGGACTCCAGTCCCTCGTCCCCTGCTCTTTTATTCCTTTCCCTGGCTTCAGGTCACCTCTCTACTAATAATTCTCTGGCACACATCTAGCCCTGCTCTCTGCTTGGAGTTCAAATTCTACATCTCTAACTGTGCTCTAATTACTGAAACCATTATTGCAGACTCCACATTTCTATAAACATTCCTTACAGACCAACTGTCCCTCCAGATTTTCTGACTTCTCTCATTAATAATAAAAACCACTAACATTGGGTGGCTCCCATGGCTCAGTCAGTAGGGTGCCGGCCCCATATGTCAAGGGTGGCGGGTTCAAACCCAGCCCCAGCCAAACTGAAACAACAAAAAATAGCCGGGCATTGTGGTGGGCACCTGTGGTCCCAGCTACTCAGGAGGCTGAGGCAAGAGAATCACCTAAGCCCAGGAGTTGGAGGTTGCAGTGAGCTTTGATGCCACACCACTCTACCAAGAGTGATAAAGTGAGACTCTCTCTACAAAAAAAAAAAAAAAAAAAAAAAAAAACCACTAACATTATCCAACATGTGCCAGGCTTTACATCAATTCAATATCTTGGCCAAAATCATAGCTTAAGAATTGTCAGAACTGGAATCTGGATCCAGGCAGGCAGTCTAGCTGCAGACCTAAGATCTGAACCATTATGTTATCTAATTTCATATTTCCCCTTTGAAGGTACATGTTTATATTTCCAGCTTTCCATGAGTAACCAACATATTTTTGTTGGCAATGATAAAGCCTGGAGGTTAAGGGACTGCCACCAAACTGTCAGGCCCAAGGGCAAGAACAGATCTGACTCATTCACGATACATTTCAAGCACTTCACAAGGTTCACAGCACATACTCTGTTCGAATTGGCTGAAGTCACATTCAAATTGCCCCGTACATAGACTAGGAGAGAAAAACATTCCCCTGAAGTCCATTTGTAGTTTCCACCAACAGTAATACGCGACTGGTGAAGGGAGCTGCTGTTTTGAAAATAATGAGCAGAATAATTTTGTTTCAGAATCAAAACAAATGTAGAGAAGAAGGGGGAAAACGATCATAAGAACATTTTAAGTGGAAAGAAGGTCTCCAGAAATCTTTACTCAAAAAGAAGAGGGTACAATGACACAGGACAAGGTAGGAGGTGGGAGGCTGGTGAGAAGACAGGAGACGTGGAGGCAGATGTGGGAAACAGGAATGCCAGAGTCCAACAGCACAGCCTACTCTGTCACGGTGTTGTGAACTGGGCTTTGTTTTTATAACACCTTGTTTATTTAATTTCCTGTGTTGTAAAAATCCTAGAACTATACTCTACATCTTTGGTGAGGTCATATGATCAGGTGAAGGCAAAGGAATCATGACCTTGGCCAAATATGTTTATTTTTTTATGCAGGGAGCAAAACAGAATCTTTCTGATGAGTTATCTCTAATTCCAAGTCTGGTTTCTCTTGATATATATGTTCATGTGTTAAGCCACTATCTAATGAATGCTGACCAACTAGGAACTAGGGATGTAAGTGTGGTCCAGGAAAGTATGGTTATGTGCACGACCTACATGCAAATAAAAAAGGGATGTAGGGGGCTCTAAGAAAGCCCATAATCTGAGGAAAGGGAGAATCTAACCCAGACTTTGGATAGTTACAGGTTTCCTAACTAATATCCAGGCTGATATCTAAAGGATGATTAGAAGCAAAATATGGAAAAGATGGTTCCAGGCTAGGGATATGTGTGATGGCCTAGGAGAAAGCATGGTACATTCCAAGGGGTGACAGGAATAACACCAAGTTAGGGAAGCTATGGGGAAGTGGACTTTCTTACAGATAGTTGCTAAGAGTATAAATTTACATGAGTTCATAAATGTCTACAGAGAAACTGGGAACATGCTCAAAGCCTTATAAAGGTATGCCTTTTGAATCAGAAATTTCATTTCTGGGAAATTATTTTATGGAATTATATTATGGAATTATTTTATGGAATAAATTATTTTATGGTGCAATGATTTACCAACAAGGAAAATAAACATGCCAATGCTTATAAAGTAAAATATTTAAAATAAAATGCCTATCTATTGAAAACTAGCTAAATAAATCACAATCCAACCAATATGTCAGAGTATTCTGCAACCATTACAAGTTATGTTGAAGATTATTAACATGAAAAAAGTGCTGTGACTTTAAAAGAAAAAAGCAAGATATAGTATAGATTCTATTTCAAAAATACATGAACAGACGCTTATTTCTGGATTATAGGATTATCAGCTCTTTTAGCTTCTTTTTTGCTTATCTTTTTAATATTTCATCAATGAATCTATAATACTTTTTTAATAAAAAGAAATATTAGTCACTTAACTTTTTTAAGAGATTAAATTGGCCAGGCATGGTGGCTTACGCCTGTAATCCTAGCACTCTGGGAGGCCAAGGCGGGTGGATTGCCAGAGCTTATTGGTTCCAGACCAGCCTGAGCAAGAGCAAGACTCCATCTCTAAAAATGGTGCCGGGCTTTGGGGAAGCACCTATAGTCCCAGCTACTCAGGAGGTACAGGCAAGAGTTTGAGCTTGCTGTGAACTAAGATGCCACAGCACTCTACCAAGGGCAACAAAGTGAGATTCTCTCTCAAAAAACATAATAAAATAAAATAAAATAAAAAGATGTCATTGTCTCATCAACAACCTGAGATAAATTCCCATGCACACTCTCAACACAGGAACCAACACTGACATGAACAGGCGAGCCTTGATCCAAACCGTACCTGGACAAATCCAAACGGGAAGAAGAGCTCCGTCTGCCCCTGGGAGCCATTGTGGAAGGTGCGGCGCCAGTCTTCAATGAGTGCAGGGAACGTGCAGTTGTACAGGTCTGTGTTATAATTCATATTGGCCTCCCCTAAAAACAGTCAAAACTGTAAGAGGTGCACAGGACAAACTATAAAAATAGCCACACTCCTCCCTGCACTCTCCTCCCTGTGACTTTCTCTGGCCAATGGGGCGTCAGTAAACATCATGCAAGCAGAGGCTTGAAATCACTTCAGCTTCAAGTTCTGCTCTCTCATGATGCATCTGCAATCCTGAAACTACCATGTAAATAAAAAATGAGTCCAAACTAGCTTGCAGAAAGATGAGGGGCCACCTAGGAACCAGGATGCACCAGCAGACACCCCCCAGTCTGCAGACAGGAGGATGGGGCCACAGTAGACCATCTGGTCACCAGACAACCTGTCTGGTGGCTAAAGACACATAAGCAATCCCAGTAGAAATTAGCTGAAGCAGTCTAGAAGAAAAACTACCCTGTAAACCCAAGAGTTGTAAGCTAAATAAAATTATAAACGTACTGTTGTTTTAAGCCACTAAGTTCTAGGGAGGTTTGTTACACAGCAGAAGCTGACTGATACCAGGGAGAATTAGCAAACTGAACACTCACCCTGGTACCATATCACGCCTTTCAGAGTCATTTTATGGAGCGGGTAGATCATAGAGTTCCAGAGAACAGACGGCTCAGAGGGTCCAGTTACAGAATCACGCGGAATGTACCTGAAATCAGTAAGATGCCCAAGTGTCACCAGAGAGTGAGTGACCGATGACATGACAATCCTTAAATTGCCCTCTGTCCACTTTCACTTGGCACAAACTTCTAAGGAAAGTGACACAGAATTAAGTTGAATGAACCTGTTTCACATAAAAACACGTCAACAGTCTCTGGATCTCACCTGCACATTCTCTCCAAGGTAAATATATCAGTCAGCTTGCCATGAGATCAGAGTGGGCCATCCCAGCGTCTAGGCAAAGTCTTTAAAGCCAGACAAATGTTTTATCATGGGTTTTTCACAAGGTCAATAAATTTATTTAGCCCACTACTCGCTGGATGGATACTTAGGTTGTTTTAAACTTTTTGATTTTCTAAGGCCACAATCCTCTTCCTTATAATTAAATCACTGCATATATGCTTAGTTATTTATTTCCTTAAGATAAATTTCCAGAAATGAAATTGCTGGGTCAAAGGGAACATTTTCTGAAGACTTTGAAAATGTTCCCAAATTTCTCTGCAGAATACTTACAGGAATGTAGCCTCCTAACTCTGGTGTGTGACAATGGCCACTTTCCCACACCCTTGGTATGATCCTTTTTACCCCTGAGACCTGAGAGGCCTGGCTTTAAATCCCCTCCCTGACTGTGTGCTGCCTCTGACCTCCTACTCCACTGCAGGCTGTGCTTCCTGGTCCAAAGTTGAGGGTCTTCACTCCCCCCTAGGCAAACCTGTAATTCCCAAACCACACCGACAGCTCAAGTCCACCCCCCTCCCAGAGTGAATGAGACAATGTCCGTGAAAGCAGGTCACAAACTGCTCGTCTCTGGGTTGGCATGAGTGTTGAGATACTTTTTTTTTCTTTTTTTTTTTTTGCAGTTTTTGGCCAGGGCTGAGTTTGAACCGCCACCTCCAGCATATGGGGCCGGCGCCCTCCTCCTTTGAGCCACAGGCGCCGCCCAAGTATTGAGATTCTTATTAGCTCACCCTTTCTCCCCACAAGTATTCTCCGGACCCAGCTTTTCCTAAGTGGCTTTCACAGTCAGTATACTAATGTATTTCTCTAAGTTCGTGTTCAGACATTTGTACTTCCTACTGGACAATTTATTCTGCTACGTGACAGAGCAGAGTCTAGAAGCACACACCTGGAAGACAGACTCGGCCTCTTGCTAGTTGTGTCCATGTACAAAGATACTATATCTCTCTGAGAATTAATGTCTTCATCCATTAGACACTGTTAGCATGCTAATAGTAACTACACTTCAAAGGACTGTTGTCTTATATGAATTAATATATATAAGGTGCTTAAAACAGTAGCTGGTATATGGAAAGCTTTCAGTAAGTATTAGCTATTACTATTACTAAGGAAAAGGATCATAATTTATTTTTGACATATTCTCAGATGACTGTGGTGGTGATGACACTATCTCCCCTGTCTGTGAATGAATTCCATAAACTTAATACATATTTGAACACTCAACACATACTTAACTCCTCAAAGGTGACCATAATCCTCCCTCTTCAGTAATTCTCTAGTAGGCTATCTCTTAAACTGCAGAATGCTTTCTTACCCTTGCGTATGAATGCCACAGGCTTTCAGTGACCTTCTAGATGACCAGGCTTCAATGGGTGTCCCACTCCAGGTGGATGAGATGAGCCCAATGGGATGCTGCACAGTGTCATACAGGTGACGCCCAAAAAGCCAGCACACTGCTGACATGTACCTGAAATATCCATGGCCTAAGTTCTCTGTTAAGAGAAATAGTTAAAGGAAGAGTCAGAGAAAAAGTAGATGGATACAAGCTACAGCTACTAGACAGGTCTAAGTGAGAAGGGTGAGCTTTGGTCATCACTTCTGTTCCTTTCTAAGACTTCAAACCGGGGACATCACTGAGAGGCAATGAGCAGAGGCAGCATGGAGACCGACATGCTCCTTCAGACCTTTCCTAAGGAAAATCTTTCCCCATGGGGAAAACTGTCACTTCAATGTCTTCATTTTCTTTTCAGTTGCTCAAAATGCTTGTTCTCATAAGACAGAGGCAGCGGTCATTATTTTGGTCTCGATTTGAGTATAAAATAATGCGTTCCCATAATCAAGGAGCCAGAACTCTCCAGCCAGGCAAGTGGGCTTCCTCGTGCTTCCCATCACATACAGGTGCTTCAGAATCTAGGAATATTATTAAAGCTCCCCTCGAAAGGTGAGAGGCAGGAGGCCGTGGGGCCCTGTGCTACCCTTTCTTGAACCCCTCTCTTCCCACTCATTCCCCCTTAGATCTGTGAAGGGAAAAGGCAAGAGGAAGCATGTTGAGAAGAAATGTTTTATACCCAAGTTTATAGCTATGCTAATGAAAACACTGTCAGATACACAATGGGAAATTTGGCCAAAAGGGAAAGTAACAGAAACCAACACTAGTGTTTCAATTTCGGGCACAGTCTAAGTCATTTGTCTACATTGCCCAGTAACCAGCGCTGGTCAGAGCGAGCGATTTCCACGATAGAGGAAAGAGGAGGAAGAGGGGAACACGTACACACACATAACCGGGGGACCAATTCAACCCAGTATTTACTTACTAGAACTAACTCACTAGACCAGACTTACTATGTCTAACTCACTGGCTTAGTGCCACAAAAGTTCCAAACTCAGTGCAGTTCTGGCACTCTGAAGTAGGTAGTGCAATGGTGGCGATTCAGATCAATTTCAAATGAGTTCAGATTGATTGAGCACCTACTATGTGGCAGAACTTCTAGATGGCTGGGATATAGGAATGACAGAGCTATAGAGAAACAAGGAACCACTCTCCTCGTAAGTCCTACAGTTTACATAATAAGGCAAGAACTTAGTTGAATAAACTATATAGCAGAACTTGGTGCCTCAAAATATACAAATAAGTGTTACGAATATCAAATGAGAGGCAGATCAGACTGACCTCCTCCCTGAGCTTCCATGATGCCCTATGCAGAGCTCTCTTGCCGCACTTTTTTGTAATGGTCTTGCTAGTGTTTCCCTTACCCCACTACACTACCGGGTACCCGAAGGCAGAGAAGTCTCCTTATTCTCTTCTGTCCCCCTGACATCTATGGCATGGTTGAGAGTCAGCTGGCTGCTGGTGACTGGCTGTGGTGGGTGGTCCCAGTATAGAGGTAGTGTCACTGATAGGCAGGACGTAGAAAGAAGAGGGCTGGGGAAGCCTTGAAGGAGGGATAGGAGTTCCGTAAACATGGCTGGCCTTCCAGACAGAAGAAAAACATGTGAAAGGCACATGCAAGAGGAAATATGCTGCAAGCATTTGGCTAGAGCAGAGGCTACAAAAGGAAAATAGCAGAAGATGGAGACTAAGGGGAGGACGGAGCCACATCGGGAAGTAAATGAAATGGAAAAGCCCTGGAAATGACTGAGACTGAGAAGGAAGGTGTCTCTGCCCCGACCCCCGGGGCCCACAGAGCTAAAGGGATGCTGTAGATGTGGTCAGGGTTAAGGACGTTGAGATGGGGAGAGTACCCTGGATCATCCAGGGGAGTCTATGGTAATTCAGTGAGTCCTTAGAGTCCGAGGAATTTTTCCAGCTACAGTGAGAGAAATGCTACAACAGAAGGCAGGTAAGAGTCTAACTGTGGGAGAGACTCGATCCTCTCTGCTCTTCCCTGGATCTCTGCATAGCCTCACCTTGTTCAGCTTATTACTGAAATGCCATCGTTCCTAGTCAGGACTTCCCTGGCCACTCTTAATTGCAAAGCACTCCCCCATCCCTGCCCAAACACTCCCTCCCATAATGTATCTTATTGATTTATTTTTGTCTCACTAGCATACTTCCCCCTCTAAACTATCCCATGATGTCTAAATTGATTCAGTCTCTGAGTTCAGAGAGTAAAAAAAAGAGTTCAGATAGCAAGACGTAACACATTTCCAAATCTGATGGATTTCTGAACTTTGGATAATAGGTAATAAGAGTTTATATAGCAAAGGATTCATCCAAAATTACCAGAATCTATTCACTTCCTGAGCTCCCACAGGAGAGTTCAGATAGTGACAAAGCATAGCATCAGGTAACTTCGTGTATATTTACTAATTTTATTATTCATTTTCTGTATTCCCTCTAACTGCACTATAAACTCCATGAGGTTAGGTGGTCTTGCCTGTTTTATTTACTGTTATACCCCCATCACTTAGAACAGTGTAGCACATAGTAGGCACTCAAATAATTGTTGAATGAATGAACACTTGAAAATATAGGTACCACTGAGGTCATCAAGGTAAAGCAAATATAGACAAAAAAGAAAAGAGCCCAGAGAAAAAACACAAAGATCACTTTTGAATAGGCTTAAAATGCAAAGAAATGAGGATGAAGAACACAGAGGACTAGGAAAAGGAAATACCAGGCAAGCTAAGAGTAATACAGTTTCTAGGAGGGATGGTCTACAGTGTCAAAAGGTGCAAAGGTCCCTGGGTTTATAATTAGAAGAACAGTAACCTTGAGGTTGAACACAAGTTCAAATTTCTTCTCAAAGTGGAAGAAAAGCCGTATTACAAAGGGTTCAAGAGTGAACACATGGAAAGGTAGGGAAAGAATGAAAACAAATGATATTCTAGAAAGGTTTAACAAAGCAAAGGAGAGAGATGAGCTATCAGGAGAAGGGTGTTAGGTTTAGCTTTGCCTTGTTTTGTTAGAACAAAGGAAAGGCTAGGATCTGAGATAGAGACTGTCTGTCTAGTCACTTCTGTGTCCAGGGGAAGAGCACAGAGCCTGACACAGAGTCATCATGAAATAAAGACCCCATGGTGAATGGCAGACAGGGAGAGAACACAGCCTAAGGGATAAAAGGAGGCTCTGGGCTCTGGAGGAAGTAAGAGCCCACATTTCAGAGTTAGCCCTGAAACAAGACAAATCCATTGCCTTCAGACATAGAAACAAAGGAAGAATGAGAAGAAAATAATACCAAGTTAAGGCTCTGGCGATGGATGCTGGCAACGCCCATGCTGAAGGGCCTCAGTATTTTCACTGAAGTTGTGGAAGGAAAGGCCACTTCGTCATCACAAGGGAGAGAAGAGTCACTGGTAGAGTCTTGAGAAGAAACATATGAAACAGCACCAGGAATGGAGTGGAGAGTCCATAAGAACTGGATGAAAAGAGAGTTGAGTAATAATAAATAGACAGTTAAGAATTAATCTCAGGGTCATAGATTCCACTCGAGGCACTAACCCAGTACGTAAGAGACGGCACATGTTGGAGCAGTCATGTACCTGAGGTGGGCTTAGACCACTCCAAGTCAACGGAAGCCAGGTCCTCCAGCTCCTGCTCTGCCTGAAGGAGAGAGACGGAGAGGATGCGGACAGACTGATAGGCAGCAGTGTTAGACAACTCCCTTGTAGCATTAAATATCTAGAAGAGAAATTGAAATGTCGTTTAAGCTAGTGGGTGGTGAATTAGCCTGATGCCTCTTAGTAACCAACACTACTAATCCTACGAGTACCTTCTGAGCCTTCAATATACTGAGATCAAATAAGTAAAACTAAAATCAACAGGACAGATTGAATCACCTTGCTCCACTCTGACCAAGAGGCACCAGGATGAATCATGTTCCCAAAGAGCACAGGAAAATCATGAAACCCAGGATCTTAAGGAGTAGTCTCCATTAGCCAAGAGGAGTGGTGGAGACGTTTAGGCTAACAATGCGAACTATGAATTAGAACACTGTGGTATCTTGAAACTGGAACACTTTTACTCTGAAAAAGCATCTGATCACACAAAGGCCTGGCAATTATAAAAAATGGTGCTTAGTATCCCATGTGGACCCCAAAAAGGCCTTGGAGAGGTAGGTTTTTCTAATCCGTACCACAAAAGAGAAGTAAGATCAAAAGAAACACGTCTGAGAAATGAGTGAACTACTGAACATACTAAAATCACTCTCAAAATGTTTATAACTGTCCTTCCATAGCTGCCAAGGATTGGTTCCATGACCTCTCCTCCCTTAGGTTTAAAGATGCTCAAAAATCCTTATATAAAATGGTATATTTATATATCAATATAACCTACAAATATCTTCCTGTATGCTTCGAATCATCTCCAGATTACTTATAATAGAATATAAATGCTATGTAAATAGTTGTTACATGGGTTGATCCTCCCCTAACCTATACTCCAAAATCCAAAATGCTCTCAAATCCAAAACTTTTTTTTTTTGAGATAGAATCTCAAGCTATCGCCCTGGGGTAGAGTACTGTGGCATCACAGCTCACACAACCACCTCAAACTCTTGGGCTTAAGCGATTCTCTTGCCTCAGCCTCCCAAGTAGCTGGGACTACAGGCACCTGCTACAATGCACGGCTTTTTGTTGTTGTTATTGCAATTGTCATTGTTGTGTAGCAGGCCAGGCCAGGTTCAAACCATTCAGCCTTGGGGTATGTGGCCAGCGCCCTACCCACTGAGCTGTGGGTGCCACCTCAAATCCCAAACTTTTTGAGTGCCAACACAACACCCCAAAATGGAAAATTCCACATGTCGGTACTCAACACAAACTTCGGTTCATGCACAAAATTATTAAAAAGGTTGTGTAAAATTACCTTCAGGCTATGAGCAGAAGGTATATCTGAAACGTACATGAATTTCACATTTAGACTTGAGTCCCTGCTCCAACATATCTCCTTATGTATGTGAAATATTCTAAAGTTCGAAAAACCCATAATCCAAAACACTTCTGCTCCTAAGCATTTCAGATAAGGAATACTAATGTGAACTTTATTGGGTTTTTTTTATTTGAATCTTTTTAATTGTTGTATTGGTTTTTTTCAAATATTTTCAGTTCATGGGTGATTGACTCTGTAGGTGTGGAACTCATGGATACAGAAAGCCAACTGCATTATCATCTTGGTTCTGGCAAATCACTGAAGAAAAGCATGGGGTTTGAAAATTGGGGTTCAGGCTCAGCGCCATTAGCTCAACCGGCTAAGGCGTCAGCCACGTACACCTAGGGTGGCGGGTTCGAATCCCCAGCCCGGACCCGCCAAACAACAATGACAGCTGCAACCAAAAAACAGCCGGGCATTGTGGCGGGCGCCTGTGGTCCCAGCTACTTGGGAGGCGGAGGCAGGAGACTCGCTTGAGCCCAGGAGTTGGAGGTTGCTGTGAGCTGTAATGCCACGGCACTCTACCCAGGGGGACAGCTGGAGGCTCTGTCTCAAAAAAAAGAAAATTGGGGCTCAGGGTAACAGCTTAGAACAGTCCCAAAGAACAAGAAAAAGGAAAGGGTCCGACCAAAGACAGATCATGTTTCCCCAAATCGCTTTCTGAAACCTCATCAGCTGCCAAGAATACGCCAGGAACAGCTTAGGGCTTTCGTGGACAAGAATGTGCGTAATTTCTTTGTTAGGCCTCTTAAGCATCATTCCTCTATGAACTTAACACGCAAGTTCTATTTCCTTTAATCGTGATTTTTTTTAATTATATTTTTCTTTTTAAAAGACTGTATCAGAAATGCCTTGTTTTGCTTTGATGTGGGTTTTTACCTAAGTCCTCTCTAGCCTCCTGGGCTAATCCAGCTTCTCTTTCCAAAACAAAGGGCTAAGAGGAGAATCAGGAAGCTGTGTTTCCTTTTGCCTGAGGGAACAAGTGCTCCAGCTGAGTCAGGGCTGCCACCGCACAAGGCACCAGGCTGGGATACTTTCCATTGGCCGCTGGCCAGAGTGCGCAGCTGGCTCTTCTTCCCTCCCACCCACCACGGAGAATACAGCTGGCCCTCCAGCCACAGTAGAAGAGAAACGAAGGAGCAGCCAGGGTGCCCCCACAGCGCATTTCACTGACACCCACTGCCCCTGGAATCGCCTCTTGATGTGCCACTGAGCCTGCTGCAGGCCAATAAGACAGGCAGATGCAAACGAAATGGCCCTTTGGTCACAATGGAAGCCACAACCTGAAATTCTCCCTGGTAGCAGCAGCTCCAGCCTGTCAGGGTTGCTGGTCTTCGCACTACCAGGCCAGAGATTATGCGTGGTCTCAGGAAAATGCCAAAGGTAACCCAGAGCCGTTCCTTCAGGATCTCACCTGCAAATTAAATCTAAACGCTACAGGATAGGAACAGGCTGATGCACTCGGTACATTCTGGCAGGGAAATTATTTTTCAGCACCAAGTACCTGCAAAAAGTTGCCTCCTTTGAAATTCAGTTCTGCGCTAAACACTAAGGATGGTATGCCGCTTCCATGGAAACGGTGGATGAAATCGCTTTCATTCTCTCCGCCCACACTGGCTTCCGCACTGGCTGGGAACTCAAGTGCCTCGTCGCAGGGAGACGCCAGCTTGGGGAGGCAGTCTGGGAGCGCACGTTACTTGTCTTTGAGCGCTGCGAGAGGCCGGCAGAGTCAGGGTGGCTGGCATTCTCCTACACTGTTACCAGCACGCGGAGCTGGATCCAAAACACTGGCTGGAAAACTTCCATTTTCAAACTCCCATTTGTGTCTTATTTCAAACCAAAACTTGAAATCCACAGAAAGTGGTAACAAAGGTGGGGGTGGGGGCGATTCCGGCTGGACCTGACGATGAATGTCATGACAATTACTAAGAAATCGGTATCCTCTCCCCAGATCACTGGGCCTTTTTGATGGAAGCATCTCCTCGGGGATATTGGCAGCAAATTTAGGAATAAAGAGATTTCAGGAAGATTTTCATTTAAATGACACTTGGTTTCCCTGCTGATGAAAGGGGAAGCCTTGCTCCATCTGCCGAGATCAGATTTCATCTCATCAAACACCTCAGTGTAATTATTTTTCTACCAAGTATTTAAATGAGGATGTAAATGAACACCAAGGTATTTGAAGTCATTAACTCTGCGGAGGCTGAGAGAGAGCACCGCGGCCTCTCGAGGGACTGGACCATTCACCATCAAAGCAGCTGCTCACCAGTGTTCATTTTGTAACCTTTATGCCACATTCTTGAATTAATGAAGACACGTCAAGAATCTATTTCCTCGGAGAATGTTGGCATGGGGTCTGTGTGGGGGAGGGGAACGATGCGTGTGTGTGCGCGCGCGCGCGCGCAGAAAAACATAGGAAAATCTTATTTACTTAAAAGAATTTGGAGACTCTGTTAGTGAAGTTACCTGTCACTATGGTGGGACCGACTATAAAAAGCCAGCTGTCACCTTCTGTGAATCTCTCCTGTAACACGGTGCCAGCCCTTCTCTTCTGGAGCTTCCCTTCTCCACTTGTAAAGTAGGAATGTGGGGAGGCTCAAGACACTGAAAAATAGGTTTCCTCACTGACACTGGTCATCTTTTTCTGGGCCTACCTAGAAATAATCCAAGTCTTAAGACCTACCCTGACTTAGGAGGCGACAGATGAACATTTAGACTTCTCTCCATTTATAAACATCTCACTCAGTGTTATAAATAACACTCGGTTTTAAAATTCTACTTTACCCTAACAACAAGATGGGCATACAATCTGCCGTTTCCTGCATTTGAATGTGAACAGTGGTAGGTTATAGTGGAAATCTTACCTCCTCGGAAAAGTCACGTGGAAGGGGAGAAGGGAAAGAGACAGACGCTGTGTGTGAGTGTGTGTGAGTGTGTGTGTGTGGTGTGAAAAGAAGCAAGCGAAGCTACGTAAAGCATCTTTTGATAAAAAAAAAATATATATAAGATTCTACAGACTGTTAAGAGACTAGAAAACTTGGCTTTTGGTACCATCAGCACCTAAAATGCTGTCTTGCAAACTAAGTGCATGATTTAAAACAAAAAAAAAAAATTAAAAATTAACACTTGGATGTTTCAGATGGAATCTTTTCTCTATTCCCTTACATCTTAGAGTTTACAGCCCTAGCCTAATATTGAAGATGGTTAAGAGTAAATTCTAGGCAGGAGGGAAAAAAAAATGTGTTTACTCCTAACAATCAAAATCTGATTTAACTTGACAGAAAGTGGGATGGGATCCCCTGGCACAGACCGCCACTGAGAAAGTGACTACATAGAGGCAAACAGATCTGGTTCATGCCTTTCTGTACAAACACGGAGCTGCAATTAACGCATTAAGAAAAGTACTGTTTTCCCAGCCTGAGCGGAGTGAGACCCCCCATCTCTACAAAAATCAGAAAAATTAGCCAGCCGTGGTAGCACATTCCTGCAGTCCCAGCTACTCAGAAGGCTGCTGAGGCAAGAGGTTGGCTTGAGCCCAGGAGTTTGAGGTTGCAGTGAGCTATGATGGCATTACTGCACTCTAGCCTGGGATCAGAGCAATACCCCTGTCTCAAAAAATATATAGAAAAAGATAAATACTGTTTTCCTTCATGAGTTAACAGCGATTTCACTTCTATACAGAACCATGCTACCAAAAGTTAAAACTTCAACTTGGTTTCCACTCACTTATGCTAAAACAAAGTTCAATTTAATAAACACTTCACTTCAAAAGCCTTCTATATGTTTAAATAAGGCAGAAAGTAAGGGTAAATAAAATATTAATTAGGAAGACTTAAATACAGTAATTTAGGTTCTGAATCAGAAAACAAATGATGAAGTAGATAGGTCCAGAGTCAGATCATTGTAGCAGCGTTATTTAGAAATAGCTTAAAAAAGGGAAAAAAAAAAAATGAAGGCGAAACTATAAGGAATAGAAGCTATTGAAGCAAAACAAGAAATCAAAGTACCTAAAAGCACTCAATTGTACAAGCTTTGCAAAAAGGGAAATAAATTGAGATCATGGTCCAGATGTAAAGATTTTTAACCCTCAAATGTAAATGTTTCTCAAAGAGGGAGGATAATAAAAATAAAAGGCAAGAAAATGAAAATCAACTTGTAAAGAAGCTCCATTTTGGAGAAAGTCCTAGTAATTTTTTCAAGCTCTTAACCTATGAAAGGAAGAAAATCAAAATGTATAAAAAATATGAGTGCCAGTCAATAACTACCAATTTAATTGGTAATTTACCTCTTAAGGCTGTTAAATCAGATTAATTAATGCATTCAGAGCGCTGAGAACCGATCTTAGCATGTGTTAAGTTCATCATTTCCTCCCTCCTCCTCCTCCTTTTTCTTCTTCGTCACGACATTGACACTGGTGATTATTGCGGTAGCTCTGAAAATTACCTGTAGCACAGTCATCTGCATGTTACTCTGCCCACTACAGAGCCAGACATCTCCAAACAAAACATCGTGAACTGTCTGGGTGGTGTTCATTCTCCCCAAAATCTGTTGTGCCATCAGTTCGAAAGGCCCACCAGCCTTCACAGGATCCAGTACCACCATCCAAGTATCAGCGTCTGCTGAAATAATAAGAGTTCAAGAATTTAATCAATCAATTAGTTAAAAAAAAATTAGAGCCTAATCATACTGATTTGTGGTGATTCCCAGCCTCAGCAATAAACTGAGTTCAAAGCTGTAAGACTGGCCAGATTTTAGGCAAGAGGCCAGAACTAACAATAGCAATAGTGTTTTTATCCTTAATCTGTACCAATCCCTCCTTACTTTTTTTTTTTTTTTGAGGCGGATTCTCACTTTTTCGCCCTCCGTAGAGTGCCATGGCCTCATGACTCACAGAAACCCCAGACTCTTGGGCTCAAGAGATGCTCTAGCCCAGTGGTTCTCAACCTTCCTAATACTGCAAGCCTTTAATACAGTTCCTGTGGGTCATGACCCACAGGTTAAGAACCACTGCTAGCCTCAGCCTCCAAGTTGGTGGGACTACAAGAGCCTGCCACAATGCCCAGCTACTTTCAAAGACAAGGTTTCACTCTTGCTTAGGCTGGTCTTAAACTCCTAAGCTCAAGCAATTCACCCACCTTGGCCTCCCAAAGTGCTAGGATTACAGCCACAAGCCACTGCACCGGGCTCCCTCCTTACTTTTAACTGACACATGTGGCCTAAATAAATAAATAAATAAAATGGTTACCTAGCTTTAATCCTACATGAAGATAAACAAAAATAAACACCTACTAAAATGCAAGGAAATTTAATGAAAAACATAAAATAGAAATTCTTGTTATACTATCCAGCTGTCAATATTAACATAAGCTCACCTTCTACATTTATACAGTGTCCCTAACTACTTGTAATTATCTAATAAAATGGAGCACAGGTTAGAGAAAATCCTTTGTAACCTGAAACTTCCCACTACTTGGTGGTATCACCCTGTCATCACCTACCACTTACCCTCCTTTTTCTCCCTACTCTCCGCACCACCCCTGCCGATATCATACTCAGAAACTTAAGGAAATTGCCTTCAAAATGACAAAATTATGCCTGTGCAAACCAAACAACATGAACTAAGTTAACAAAACAAGAGTGGGAAAATAGATAAAAATAGAGAAATGGACTTTTTTTTAAATAAATATTTTAGGTGGTGCCTGTAGCTCAAGCAGCAAAGGCGCCAGCCATATACACCAGAGCTGGTGGGTTCGAATCCAGCCTGGGCCTGTCAAACAACAATGACAAATACAAGCAAAAAATAGCCGGGCGTTGTGGTGGGCGCCTGTAGTCCCAGCTACTTGAGAGGCTGAGGTTAAGAGAATCACTTAAGCCCAGGAGTTGGAGGTTGCTTTGAGCTGTGACACCATAGCACTCTACCCAGGGCGATAGCTTGAGGCTCTGTCTCAAAAACTAAATAAATAAATAAAAATATCCTGGGCATTATGCCAAAGAATATGAATTGATTTATAATTTCTATCACTTGGATCAATACAAATTCAAAGGAAAAGAAGGGAAACGGAGCACCCTAAAATTATTATACCCAATCTGTGAGGAATGATAATTATAAAAATACGACCCAAATGCCTAGGTGCTAAACAATTTTGCTAGGCAAAATTCTTGCTAACCAGCAAGAGTTAAGCAGAAGCAAGAGATGTCCATAGGTGATTAGTAAAAACTAGAATCATAAAGGAGTCCTGGGGGCTGTCCAAATACCCCAAGGTATCAGTCAAAGGGCGTATGTTTCCCCTTCAAAGCAAGATCAACTGAGCTTGTTACTCCCATCCCTAAGAGGTTAAGTAAGCCAGGGACCAAATGTTCAGTATTGTTTTTAAACCACCAATAGCCAGACATCAACATATTAGATGTATAATTCACCTAAACCAGAAAAATCATTGTTTTGGAAACAGTGGGCAGTGAGTACAGATTGTGTGGCACAGGTGTGATGTGCTCCATATGGCTCACACTTCTGAGCAGGCAGACACTCCAATCTGTCCCAACTACAGGCTTGCCAAGGCCTTCCCAGGCTTCCCGCACTGACACATCTTACGGGAGCTCTGTCCTTCTGCCACCAACGCTACTCACTTAGGATGATAAGGTCGACCCGCCAGAAAACCTAGCACAGGACTATTTCTTAGCCTTCTTCTATGGCACAGTTTATCCCTACTCTCTGCTGTTAGTCTGGTACTTACACTTAGCCCCAGTCCAACATGGCTGGTGAAAAAAACTACCTGCACCAGAGCTTCTGAGAAATGTTGCCACCTCGTAATGAAAGATAGTGAATGAGGTCCTCCTTTTCCACCTGGAACCATGGAGGGTGCCAGAAGCCCTTAAGAAAAAGCGAAAGAATTTCGCAGAGCTGAAGATCAAGCATCTGAGAAAGAAGTGTGCCCAAAAGAGGCTTCGAAAGGCAAGGAGGAAGCTTATCTGTGAAAAAGCCAAGCATTATCATAAAGAACACAGGCAGATGTACAGAACTGAGATGCAGATGGCTAGGATGGCAAGAAAAGCTGGTAACTTCTATGTACCTGCAGAACCCAAATTGGCATTTGTCATCAGGATCAGAGGGCTCAGTGGTGAGTCCAAAGGTCCGAAAGGTGTGGCACCTTCTTCTTCGCCTTCACCAGATCTTCAATGGAACTTTTGTTAAGCTCAACAAGGCTTCCATTAACATGCTGAGGATTGTTGAACCATATATTGCATGGGGGTACCCAAATCTGAAGTCAGTAAATGCGCAAAATCAATAAGAAACGAATTGCATTGACTGATAACAGTTTGGTTGCACGATCTCTTGGTAAATATGGCATCATCTGCATGGAGGATCTGATTCATTACATCTATACTGTTGGAAAATGCTTCAAAGTAGCAAATAACTTCTTGTGGCCCTTCAAGTTATCATCTCCATGGGGGGAATGAAGAAAAAGACAACCCACTCTGTAGTAGGTAGAGATGCTGGTAACAGGGAAGACCAAATCAATAGGCTTATTAGAAGAATGAACTAAGGTATCTGCCCTGATTGTTTCTGTAATGTGGTCAGTTAATAAATAGTGACTGCTTTCAAATTGAAAAATAAAAAAGATAGTGAATGAGGGGGAAAGCAAACTGTTCAGGCAAAACATGGCAATACCATCCTAGTAAGGCCTACGTACTATTACATACATACTACAGCCCTCCAGCACCTAAAGTCTGAAGAGAACTAGACAGCCTATCTGGGCCTTATTCCTCCCAAGGGCACCTCCTTTCAACTTCCTCAAAGACCTTGAAGAACTTCCTTCAGTGCCAGTCCTCAAGTTCTTTAGGTTTCTAGCTTTCTTCCTCTCCTACTTGATAAAAGAAAAATAAACTCTGGTACAATAATAAGTGTTAAGAATAATGACCTTTTTGAGGGGTGGGCAACAGAGTCTTACTTTGTCACCTTGGGTAGAATGCTGTGGCGTCGTAGCTCACAGCAATGTCAAACTCTTGAGCTCAAGTGATCCTTTTGCCTCAGCCTCCCAAGTAGCTGGGACTACAGGTGCCCACCACAATATCTGGCTATTTTTAGAAATGGGGGTCTCATTCTCCCTCAGGCTGGTCTCAAACTCCTGAGCTCAAGCAGTCCACCCACTCGGCTCCCCAGAGTACTGGGATCACAGGCGTGAGCTACCACTCCCGGCAAGAATAATGATTGTTAAGACAAGTTAACTTCCCTACTTGGGAGGCTGAGCAAGAGAATCACTTAAGCCCAAGAGTTTGAGGTTGCTGTGAGCTGTGACACCATAGTACTCTATCAAAGGTGACATAGTAAGACTCTGTCTCAAGAAAAAAAGAAAAGAAAAAAGTTAACTTCCAGATAAGGCAAGGGAAATCTGATGCATTGCAAAAAGGTTAGTAATGGTCAAACTAACTCACAAGACAATTCATTTAAAACAAAAGTGATTTCCCCCTATGTAAATACATACAAAAGAGAGCAGCATCTCCTTTGAAGACTATTCCTTAGACCAAAGGCAAGGGGGTTGGATTATAAAGGCAAAGATGCCATGTTTCACAAGAATTAGTTAGTCCTTGGCTTACCAGCTCAAGACTGGTTGGTTGAAATGGAGTTCACCACTGACCAACGACATCCAGTGAAGAGATTTTAGAAACTGTGTTAACCCAGGACATCCATTAGCTTGGATATCCCAATAATAAATGTGAGTCCCTGACTACACAGAGTTCACCATCCCTGGATACAAGTCCACTGTCCAGCTGGCTTTCTGCTGGCCACTGGCGCTGGCTCCTCCTTCTGGGCTCTAATCACTTGCTATCTTATAATCTTTTTTACCAACCTAGGCCAGAGTCACGCTTCCCAACATTCTCATTTTCAATGCATTCACATCTCTGTTTCCTCATATGCTCCTACCATCTAGGAAGATTAATTTCCTTCCTTCATTATACAGCTACTTAGAGTGCTTCCCCTGTGCCAGGCACTCCATCAGTAAATGGCAGAAAATAAAGCCCATCCCAGAGTCACACTGACAACAAAGCCGTGCAAACTGAGTAGGGCTCTACATTCTCATGCCTAATGGTTAGTATTTCTGGTGGCCTGTTTCTGATTCTTGCTCTTGCCTTCATATTCCAGTCAAGGGCATAAGTAAAGGACTCTGTATCTTCATTTTCTCTCCATCTCCCCAATTAACTCCCACCTCAAAATGGGAAGAACAAACAATCAAGGGGGAAAAAATGGAAATAATTTGTCTAGAGACATAATTAGTCATAAAGTGCTTTCTCGCTTTTTCCTGTCGCTATTCACATCAGATGTTAATTATTTTGCAGGTTATCTTGCCAAAATCTCAGATGCCAAGAAGAGAAGGAGGAAAATTATCTGTGACCTTTCCCTTCCCAAGAGTAAAAAATGAAAGCTGAAAGAAGCAGCCTGTTCACTTCTCTCCCACAGAACACTGGCTCCCTACCAGCTGCAAAGTGGTCCTGTGGTTTGTGGAAGTGGCTTGGAGATAAAGAAGGCCTGACTGTCCAAACTGCTCCTTCCCGACCTACATTTATTCTGTAACCTAAGTTCCTCTCCCTCACCAAATATGAATGTAAGAAAAAAAAAAGGCTTAAATACTTGTCTTTCAATAAAACTGCTCATACAAGTTACTTAAACTATAGCATACTGCTGCGGAAGACACATCAGCCTAGGGCGGCACCCCAAAATCGCACCAAAATCCCCTCAAGTGCAAGCAAAATCTGTGATTTGTTTCCAACAAAATGACAAAGGGGATAAGATGTCACTCTCATGATTAGATTATGCTATATGGAGGCATTTACAGATGTGATTAAAGTCGCTAATCAGTTGCCTTTAATAAAAAAGGAGATTATCCTGGGTGGGCCTACCTACTAAAGTAAGCCCTTTCAAAGAGAGTCAAGAGCCAGAGATCTGAAGCAGCAGAGATGCTACCTACCATGAATTCTATACTCCAAGGACATAAATTCTGCCCGCAACCTAAGCATTCAAGCAAATAATTCCCTCCTTGTACCTCCAGATGAGCACATAGCCTGGTCCCCACCTTGATTTTAGCCTTCTGAGACCCTGAGCAGAGAACCCAGTACACCATGGCCAGCTGTCAGACCCACAGAAATTGTGAGATGGTAAAAGTGTATTGTTTTAAGCACCTAAGTTTTTGGTAATTTGTTACGTAGCATAGAAAACTAGTATGCATGCTACCATCATAGACAGAGATGGCAAGGTTTCAGCCTTCTTGTATATTTTTAAAGTTAGAGGAAATGCATCTATTTACCTCAATCATGATAACAAATACAGAAGGACACACTCTTGTTTTATCACCTACATACATACATACCCCAACCAGTTATGTCAAAGTGGGGCATATGTTGGGCAGCGCCTGTGGCTCAAAGGAGTAAAGCGCTGGCCACATATGCTGGAGGTGGCAGGTTCAAACCCAGCCCCGGCCAAAAACTGTTAAAAAAAAAAAAAATAATATATATATATATATATATATATATAAAACAAGAGGTACCCAAAGTGGCAGATTAAGGCAATAAGGTTGAAAGCCTCAGAGTCTTTATCAAAATCTATAACAGAAGTCCACCCTCCAACACCCTCTATACTATCTCTTTTTTTGTTTGTTTTTGTTTTTGTTTTTTTAGACAGAGTCTTACTCTGTCACCCTGGCTAAAGTATCATGGCATTAGCCTAGCTCACAGCAACCTCAAACTCCTGAGCTCAAGCAATCCTCTTGCCTCAGCCTCCTGAGTACATGGGACTGCAAGCACTCGCCAAGACATCCAGCTAGTTTTTCTATCTTTAGTAGAGATGCGGTCTTGCTATTGCTCAGGCTGGTCTTGAAATCCTGAGCTCAAGGGAACTCCACCCTCCTCAGCCTCCCAGAGTTTAGGATTATAGGTATGAGCCACCACGCCAGCCTGAGAGATATTTTCTTTTCTGCCTTATGAAATTTCTCACATGTCTAACTCCAAAAAACACTACATCTATTTTGCTTCATGGGCAGGACAGAGCAAGGTGCCCACTGAAGCCAGTTTGCAGATCTCTACAGAGTTTGTGGAAAATCTGATAAATAGATCTACCACCAGTAACATCAACCCCTTTTCCTCTGAAATAATCAACAATCTATGAATCATTTGATTCCCTTAAGTTGCTGTTGGTTTTCTGAATTCTGAATGATACATCACTTTGCAGTGGAGCAGCGAGAGCATTACTTGAGTCTAAACTACTAAATGTGAAAGGGCAGAATGAGAGAGTGCGTTCCTGAAAGATGGGCACTAGGTACAATCTTCTTGGTATTATTGCAGGGTTTCTAGCTCAGTGTTTTATACAAAGTAAGCCCATGACCAATGTTTATGAAATTGAACTCATTTCAATAAATGAGCAGGTTCACAACCGCCATAAAGGAAAAGGGAAGCTCTTCTCCTAATTATTACCTTTGATTCCACCTACCCTCCTGCCTCATGTCTGCCCACCTCAAATATTAGTCCTGAAATAGAAATGAAGGGGGAAAACTCTAAAAATAATGCAGAAGAACATTTTTGAAAACTTAAAATTTAGATACTATTGTGAGTTTTCTTTTTTTTTTAGTCTTACTTTGTCACCCTCAGTAGAGTGCCGTGGCGTCACAGCTCACAGCACCCTCCAGCTCCCGGGCTTAGGAGATTCTCTTGCCTCAGTCTCCCAAGTAGCTGGGACCACAGGGGTCCACCACAATGCCAGGCCACTTTTTTGTTGTTGTTGTTGCAGTTTGGCTGGGGCCGGGTTCGAACCTACCACCCTCAGTATATGGGGCCATGGCCCTACTCACGGAGCCACAGGTGCTGCCCTATTGTGAGTTTTCTGTGTCTCTACAATACTATCTAGTCTCTGACTCCTAAATATTTATTAATACCCTTAATCTTTAGCATCAAGGAAATACTTTTTCTTATTTTCAAACCATAGCAGGACTTTGGATTTCTACATCAATGTCGTTACTGATCGTGCCACTGTCTGTACGTGATGCTTCCCATTTCTAACACGGACACAGCACAAACAGAAAGCACTGCTCATCCTTCGAATTCTCCACTTTAGTACACCCTGCAAGTCACTGCCAGCATTTAGCTCCAACAGAGAACCATGTCTCCATCCACAGAGGCATCCCCTTCAGGTCTCTTCGTTTCACCAACAACATTCTTACCTTAACAACGTCTTAAAATCTGAGAATTAGAAGCCCATGCCTTGCACCCACGCCTGGCACATAGCATTTAAAAACATCTGATGAACAGAAATGAATTATGAAGAAACTGCACTGCACCAGGGCCCGATCACTCTGGATTAGATCATCAGTTGTGTATAGTGATAAAACCAGGCAATCCTTGTTTTCAGAGGCCAGTACAATTCCCACAAGCTTCATATATATGTATGAAGGACATTAATATATATATATATACACACTCACATACACACACATATATATGCCAGCCGGTGTTCAAACCACCAACTTGTACCTTAACTCCCCTACTACCCCACAGCAGCCTCCTCACCTGTCTCCTTCTCAACTCCCACATTCCACAGCCAAGCAGTTACCTCGAAGACCCAGCTCCGAGCCTGCCCTCCGCACCCCATAACTTTGCCTCCTCCAATCTTCTACATCATTATGTGTTCTAGACAGAGACTCTTGTCAAGGTCTCCCTGCTCATAAAAATGGCTAATTCTTAAAAAATAAAAAAAGAAAGAAATCCTACTAATTCTCACCTTCTTGAATACTCAGAGCCACTCTCTTGGGTCAAACCCTCTCACTATCTACTCTCTGGATATCCTAATAGCCTGCTAGCCAGTTCTCCCACCTCTCTCTATCTTATTGATCTCCAATCCATCTTCCACAGTGTTGCCAGAATGAGCTTTCTAAAATGCCAAACTGGTGCAATTTTGCTACTGGAAATCTATCGATCCTGAATAAAGCATACACTTCTTAGCAATGACAATCAAGGCTCCTACCTTTCCAACCTAACTCTTGCCATCTGCCACCAGTCAGGTACTCGTGTTCCAGACCACCAACCTTCCTGGCATTTCTCCAGTGACCTACACACTCAAGCCCAGGCTATCCCCTCTACCTGGTTTTCCCTATTCACCTATCAAGACAAGTCTTAGACTAACTCAATTAACCCTCCTCCCCCACTTAATACTCCCATAGCACCACGTCCTTCCTCCCTGCGGCACTTACTACACCTACCGGTAATTGTTTATTATTTTTCTGTTTCCTCCCCTAACCTACAAGCTTCATTCAGGGAGCAGCAACATCTGTTTTGCTCAGTACCAGAACGCAGCACAGTAATTGGCACATAGGAGGTACTCAGTAGATATGTGAGTGACTGCCTGATAACAGCGGTGACACTACCGACTGCTAAACTCAGTATTCATTGCCTGTCAGACATTGTTCCAAGTAATTTACATGAGTTAATATATTTCATCCTCACAATAGTTCTGTAAGTAGTATGACGATCTCCATTTTGCAAATAAAGCCAGAGATGTTAGATACCATGTCTAAGGTTATGTAACCATCAAGTAACAGAGTCAGGACCTGAATCCAGAAAGTGCATTGCAGAACCACCCCTCCATGCTCCTTTATATATAATTAAGCTCAAATGTCACCTCCTGTAACAGTGCTGAGTTAACTGCATTTCTCCTCTGCATCCCATGACAGCCCGCATGCAACCTCATCAACACATTCGGTGCACCACACAACATCACATCGCATCTATCCCTGCTATTCCACGAGCTCCTTGAGAACGGGTCTTTGTCTCAACCTTAATTTTCTTTGTACTTTCAGCACCCAGCACCTGGTAAATACTCAGATCACACAGACGGATGCCGAGCTGGAGCACAAACATTCATTTTCAGATAATCCAGCAGGTGGCAGAAGAAGACAATAGCTGAGCAGAGGATGGGCTGCCTTACCTTTCACACTGGTCACTTTCTTCATGATGGTTTCTTGACCTTGGATCAGGGTCACTGTCACTGTGGCTCCCGGAAGGCCAAAACCCCATATCACTGCCCCAGCAGGCTCCTTCTGTAGCACCATGTAATTATTGATGTACGAAGCAAAACGAAAATTAGAACCTAAAAAATTTAGCAAACATTGAGAGAAGCATCATGAGAGAGATTCCATACCAAATGGATCAAGGGAGGAAGCAAGGATCGTATAGTCCCCTCTGTACAAGAGAATTTGAATGTGCTTGGCCTTTTTAATCTTCCTAAACTATCTTAATCCTCTAATTAGGTAAGCAACGTAATAAAAACAGTTTCCAACAATAAGAAAAACTCAAGAAATCCAGGGCAACCAATGTACCACAAGCCTCCTCCCCTCCCTTCAGAGCCCTTGACCTTCCTTTGCTCTCAGGCTTAGCCCTAACACTGAGCTCTCTCCCCCAAAATCACTAAATTCTCCTTTCATGCACCCCACCGATGGTGTTTATGAGAAAAAACAAACCACTTCCTTACCCTCCTTTCCATTACCACACCCACTCCTAATGACTGGGGCTAAAGAAGACGCCTCTCTTCACAACAGTCTTCTCCAACCTTCTCCCTGCTTCGTCACCACTCTCCACACTACCAGTGTCAAAGTCCTTTAAATAATTCCCCTTGAGTTTTTTGACAACCCAGTATATTGCACCAAGAACTCTAAATAAACATGTATGAATATCTGTGACTAATCTGCTCTTTCTCAGGTAAATTCAGATAAATCAAAACACATAAGTAAGGTCAGTGATAGACAGAAGGCCAACAAGCCTGAACAAAACTCTTCCGTCACAATTTTACCCGTTTCACAAGCTCAATTATACAAAAAGAACAAGCGGAAGCACGCTTGAAACTGAATTCTATTCTCGAGAGTCACTAACAAGGCTGAATAAGAACTCACTTTAACGAGCTCATTCCTATTTTTAACATCCAGCCTATACAGAGGTTATTTTATTAATCACAAACATCAATCCAAATCCTCTCAGAGCTCCTCATCAAACTAAACAAGGAAAAAAATTAAAACCTAAGTTTTATCTCAATTTGTCCGAGCAAAACAGGTCCCCCAAAAATGCCGTGAAAGAACATAACTAACAGAATCTTTAAAAAACTGTAAAGGGTTTTAAACAAAAATGATGGGCAGGAAAGAGAACCTGAATTAACAAGACTGACTGTTATCCTCCCTGGAAGCCACAAATGATGACAGCCCTTAGGCTACACTTAGCAGGGCAGTACAGCTAATGGGGCCTCCCACACAAGCTTTCTGCCCTATTTATCCTGCTCTTGGAATAACAGCCCAGTCCCTAAAAATCCACAGCTCTGTCTCATGATCTAGTTGGATCAAGAAGCCTACATGACAATCGCAGATCACCCAGAAGGCCTACTGGACCGAAGAAGCACAGCTATCATGAGCAAAATGATCTAAGAAGAGACTACAACAACCCAGAATTGCATAAGCAGGTTGGCAGCCTGCTGGGGGAGGGGGCAGACACGTGTGGGAGAGCTTTGTCTTGGGTAGGTGCCTCATATGGAACCAAAAAACAAATACAACAGGCACAAATCAGACCTAAGTAGAGAGGGGAATGGAGTAAAGAAAACTGGCTGCAGGTCCGTGGCCCAGAAGCTTCTTTTCCAGTCAGCATGTTTCCACCAACATGCACTCAGGGAAACTCATTCTGCCTGACTCCATGCTAAATAAAGAATTTTAGAAGTAGATCTACACTGCTGGTGGGATTGCAAACTAATATAGCCTTTTTGGAGAGAAGTATGTTGAATCCTCAAAGATCTAAAAGTAGACCTTCCATTCAACCCTGCAATCCCATTACCAGGTATCTACCCAGAACAAAAATCATTTTACCACAAAGGCACTTGCACTAGAATCTTTACTGTGGCTCATTTCATAACTGCCAAGGCGTGGAAGCAACCTAAGTACCCATCAACCCATGAATGGATCAACCAACTGTGGTTTATGTATACCGTGGAGTATTATTCAGCCATTAAAAAAGATGGAGACTTTGCATCTTTTACATTTACCTGGATGGACCTGACATTCTTCTTAGTAAAGTATCGCAAGAATGGAAAAGTAAATATCCAATGTATTTTATACTGATATGAAATCAATATATAAACAATTACAGGGTGGCACCTGTGGCTCAAAGGGGCAGAGTGCCAGCCCCATATGCCGGAGGTGGCGGGTTCAAACCCAACCCCAGCCAAAAACTGCAAAAAAAAAAAAAAAACCATGTTCATAAGAACAATAAAACAGTAATATAGTTCAGTTGGGGGGGCAGAGAGAAGTAGGGGAGGGGGGACACATTTGGCAGAAAGAGGGAGAACATGAGGAGGGATCTCACCTACTGTGTACATTTGTTAGGGTGTATAACATGCCCCCTGGGTGAGGGGCTCTTGTACAAATGGAACTTTACCATGGAAGTGAGAACAATGTAACCTAAAAATTGTACCCTTCTATTAAGTTGAAACAAAATTTTAAAAAATAATAAATTGAAGGGAAGATAAAATCCCCCATTAAAAAAAAAAAAAAGAATTTTAGAAGTAGAAAGGATCTTTAGTCTAATCATAGTCTAAGCATGTTACTTACTGGTCAAGATGTATAATCACATGAATGATCAAGAGAAAGAGACTCAAATAGATTAAGAAAATTTTAAAAATAGCTTGCATACATAGTAGTCATTAATTCAAAAGATGTTTACTGATGCCTACTACGGGGCCAAGCATTATTTTAAGCACTGGAGACATAACAACGAAAAAGAAGGACTAAAAAAACCAGAAAACTTTCTTGCCAGCAGGGAGATTCCATTCTATTGAGAAGCCTCAGAGCTAAACACATCACAGGCATTAAACTTCTTTGGCCTCATGTCACGTAGGTAGTTTACAACAGGGCTATAAACCAAGTCACATGATTCCAAAGTTCTTGCAATTTTCCCTTTACCCCAGTTAGATTGCAGTGGTGAATTAAAAAAAAAAAATCATATTTCTTGTTCTTGTAAAGCTCAAATTCTCAGCTGATTAGACAGTGGAACATTACCAAGGAATTTGAGCAATCAACAAAAAAAAAAAAAAAAAA